AGGCACTAAGAGTGATCCTCATGGCTTCATTTTGTACACTCTCTAAACTAGTCAACTCTGATTCCTTGAACAACATTAGGTACAATGCATGGTAATCTATGACTGACCTTATGTGTGACAAGTAAATGAGTCTCGCAATATTGACATTGATACCATGGTCTTTGCCGACAAGTGTCCTAAGTGGCTTCAGTCGCTCCTGCAGCTTTTTCTTCAGGTTTCTGATGCACTTGAATCATTAATAGTCACCCGGAGTTATTTGTATTGGTGGCAAAGATCTAGCTCAATGTCATTTATATGAAACCTTGGCAGAGGGATTGTCTTTGGGTTAAGTGCCTTGTTTTTTTCAGTTGAGATTATCAAGGCACACTCAGTAGCCCTTGCAGAAAGTATATCTATAATATCTAGCATTCTCTCCTCGGATGAGGATTTAATGTCATTACCTGCAAGTGGTATATTTCCCTGTTTGCAATATGAAAGGCAGATTTAAGATCAAGAAATAAGGTTTGCATGCCTTTGTTTGAGTTTAAGTACTCTGCAAAACAGTGCTGACTACTACGCCCATACAGTCTGGGGGATAACTTAAACAGGAGCCTGTTCAGAATTATTCTCTCAAGTACTTTGCACAAACAGGAGGTCAAGAAAATGGGTCTGTATTTGAAAGCATTGGGTTTGGGTATAGGAATGATCAGCTTTTAGTCCAGAAGCTTGGGAGGATTCCTTGTGATAGGCTGAGTCTATGCAGGTGTAAAAGTGGGTTGCCTGGCATCTGAGCAATGTGTCGAAGGACGTTGTAAGTAATGCCATCCTCGCCAGGGGCGGTTGCCTTACCTTTCAGAAAGGCATTGCTCAGTTCCCACTCGGTTATTTCGGCAAAGTCGGAAGGGTCAATAGCAGCACTATCTATTGCTATATTAATATTTCTATTTCGTCTTGTTGAGCTGATCTTTTATCCCTTGTGGAAGTGAGTGTTTCATACAACTTCCCACTGGGTCAACTTACTCTAGGGGACACCCAGGGAGTATGAAAAACTCGATCACTGGTAATTACAGTGGATTAACTTTGCAACATTCATTTCCTTAACTTAATATTTGTCCAACAAAGATAATTTCAAACAACCACTGACACTATTTAATCAATTTAATCAATAAATATCCTTTACAAAAATAAGGCCTTAATAACAATATAAAACAAAAGTATGAATAAAATCAATATAAGGCACATGGGAAAAACATGAACTTTTGTTGGCGTTTACATGACACGTGACCACATTTAAATTGCGTTTATAACACATATGCTTGGAGAAATAATAATATAGGTAATGTACAAATAACCTTGAGTTCTCAACTAATTTGCTGGAGCACTAGTTAGCCATTAATCAAGTAAATTCAAAGTAAAAAACTTGCCTATTACAACACAAAAAACTTGTTACATCCAACCCAGGCCGCCATGATCCGCTGACGCCTGTCAACGTTCACAATAGAAATTAACTGAACTTCCTTTATGCCCTTGTGGCTGTTACGAATACATTTCAAATAAAATAATTTTACTTTACCCTAAATAACTTTGTAGTTATTCACAGATACACAATAACGTAATAACAACTATATAAGCATTTATGAATGCAAAGGAATGAAAACGTATTCTACGTAATCAAAGAAAATGGATATTTCAACATAGACTTCAATATATTATACCTTGTACGATAATCCTTTGATATTTTCCATGTATTATGTAATAACTACATGACAAGTGTAACTGATATATATATATATGTATATATATGTATATATATATATATATATATATATATATATATATATATAAATTTCTACACACGTATATATAATTTGTATTGCAGCATGCTCATACTATCCCATTTAAAACTGATTTGATGCGCACTGGCTATGGTAATGTTCAGGAAATACAGCATAAAAAGATAAGAATAGGGCAATTCATTATTGTTAATCTAATGGACAAGTGGATCGAATCAAAGGATAAAGTCGATAGATTCAAGCAATTCTCTTGTTTGGTTGGCATGTAAAAGATGCTCCGTATTTGTGTGTATATAACAATGAAATCTATCAATAGTTAAATTTGGCTCAGTTGGATAGACTGATAAAGGCAGCTGGTAAAGTACATCCTGTGGTCTAATACATTGAAGAAATATCTATCATATGTACAGTACAATTGACACCAGATGTAAAAAGTGGAAGATTATTTTTTGCAATTTATAATAATGAGTGTACATAATAATTATTATTTTTATTTTTCGTCTACAAGGACATCAGATTGCAGAGAAATGTTGACAGAAATCATGATTTATATTTATTTATAAGCAGATATAACACGGTGCATAACGAAATGTATGGCATTTACATAGTGAAACGATAAAGAAAGAAAAAAAAAGTAGACTAACAGGGTAACAAGAGCATATTCAATGGGAAAACACTTTACTGAGGTTGACCGTAGAGGCGAGAAGGATTGGCCTGTCCCTGGCTTGATGACTGATGTTGTTCTTCGCGGGCGCGAGCCTCGAGTTCAAGTCGACCACGCTCGATCTGCTCGAGGGCGTGGGCGGGGATTGGGTGGGGGAATGCAGGGGCGACGGGCAGGAAGGGCGACTGAGGTTGGTAACCGTTAACATCGGCGACGAACTGGAGATCGAAAACTTGGCCATCTGGGAAGGTAAAGCTGGAAGGAAACCATAGTTTGTATAATGTATATAGATATAGATATATATTCTCTCACATACAATATATATTTATATACATAAATATATATTACATATACATATATGTGATAATAAAAGCACTTTAGACACTTTCATAGTCATTTAAATGCCCTGCGCACACGAAACAGGTATACGCACTTTTCTGTTTAAGTATAGAAATGTAAAGAGTGAATGAACTAACCTGACGGTTCCCTGTTGAGCGCCACCTGGACCGCCAGACTCGTGCCTGACGATGCCATCCCCAGTCTCAACGTCAAAGCTGTAAGTTCCGTCAGCGGCAGGATGGACTCGCTCGTCGCGGATGATGGGGATCTGCTGAACGGGCGAGGATGTGTGGAGTGCAGGGGCGTCGTAGGAGAGAGGCGGTCTCTCAGCCACAGCCACAGCTACCAGCACGGGCAAGAGCAGCTGAAACGTTCATAAATGACAATGAATATTGAACTTCCCATTATTATACTACTACTTACTAACACTTCATGACGCCAGACATGTAGCTAAAATGCTAAGAAACAGACTTACTTTCTTCATGTTGATATTATTGATATACTTGTAGTGCAGACTGCAAGAAGTGATGCTGGCTCGCAAGCCTTGCACCTTTATATACCCCAAGAGAAGAAATGTAGGTCGCGATAAGACGCAACGTTTACATTTCCCTTTTTAAGCCCGGGTAATATAATCGTTTTTATATATCTATGTTTATTTATGTAAATGTACGCACATATAACATACATACAAACACACGCACAGAAGTGTGTGTTTTTATGCAAATGTATATTCACACATGTATGTGCTCACACACTTATGCTTGCGTGCCCGTGTTTGTATGTAGCACAAAGCACATGTAGGTACAAAACGGTTCTTTAGTAATCTATAATTGCATACATGTTCATATAAACATGCATATGTATATATATACAAACATATATATGCATGTGTGTGTGTATGTGTATGCGTATTTTTCTTTAAACATTTTCTGTAATGTTTTTCCTTCCTGTCATGCGGGAAACTTGGATTCGATAGCCCGCCTAGGAGGGATTAAAGTGCTTGACAGAAAAAGAACACGTGGAAATACATGTACATATATGCACACAAATATACCAATATAAATATATATTTATCTCTATAGTTATATGTATTAGACAACTTGTGAAAATATGAATGACAGGTGAGACTTTAGAGAAGGCTCCGAAATATCAAAATGTCAGCTGTTTATTATCTGATAGAGCGTTTACAACAATTCCACTTCAGTCAGCTTTTCTGAATCTGAAGTTTCCAATGTATAGGGATTGTAACCAAAAGTGAATATATAATTCAATACTTACGTCGGAAATTATTTGAGTGAAAGAGACCATTCATAATTTTATTTGTCATTTTCTCGATGAAAATAAAATCTGTTCATCCATATCCTCCTTTGTTCCATTACATATTTGCTTGGAAATCTGATATTATAAGGGGTTGTTTGTTTATTCAAAATTAATACAGATAAAGTAAGTAGCTGGCACGACCACCGGTCGGAATGACGAAATTAGTAAGGTTCCTAATCTAAAGGTTTGTGAAAAGACACTTAGATATCAATTAAAGATATCCCACATTAATTCTAATTTCAAGCTCGCCACAACGTATTCTTCGATAGTATAGTGGTTAGTAAGAAGTTAGTTAGTAAGTGGGGAGAAAAAAAATATTAAGACGGTCTTAACATAGTTCACTATAGTTTATATCATATATTTTAACAGAATGCATATCTAAGTTGATATTTAAGTTGAGATTTGTGGCCGTTTCCAATTAAATATTTGTTTTACATGTGATGCCAGAAAAACATCTTTATCACTAACTTCATCATATCTAAAAGTAACGCACTTTATTTCACAGAGTGACCTAACTCGGGGAAAATAATCCGCCAAGGAAGATTTGATATCCTTATAAAATTGACTGCCTAGAAGAAGCAATGTTTTGCCTCAAATTATGTCAAATTATCTAATGACCGCATCAAGGGGAAAAAAGTAGCTTCATGTATGCCCGTTTTTACATTGTGAAAGATGTTCTATATCTACTATCATGTGTATCTAACGATTCTGTAAATTCTGATTGCCTATATGCCTAATAATTAAAATTATAAATGCTGAAGATTTGGCTCAGTAGGTTGGTTCGGCTGGTAGTACACTTTATACGTTAGCACGCAAAACCAATTTTGAAAGTAGATAATTTTTTGAATGAATTGTCTATTAGGATACCAAATTGTTTAGAATGACAATCAGAAATTTGACTTACA